AAATTAAATTAAAAATTACTAATTAAAAACATGAAAATTACTAGTTAAACACTAAAGCATAAAAAAATAAAAAGATCGAAAGCTGCAAAACCACCAAATCAAAACAGGTTTACCAAATCAAAAGATCGAATGATGCAAAACCACCAAATGAAAAATTTTAATATCAGATGCACATAGGCATACGGTACCCATTTGTGCAATGTAACGAGACATATGTGATAGCCAACTGATGGCATGCTGATGCTCAAACTAAAGTACAGAAATTAAAGAAAAAAAAAAAGAGAAGCGAAAATGAAAGATAGAAGATGACATACAGACAAATAAACAAACAAAAGCTGGAGCTTGAGCTGAGTGGTGTGAGCAGTGGTGAGCGGCGCGGCAGAGGAGAAGAGACTGACTGGAGCAGGGTAGGGTAGCAATTTGCAAGAAGCGGCAATTGGATTTCCTTCTGCATCTAGGGTTAGCCGGTTATGTATATTGGATTTCCTTCTACTTGTAGGGTTCTGTAATTAGGCTCTAAATTGGACTGTAAATTGGGATATAAATTGGGCTGGGTAATTAGGTTTAAGAATATTAGATTAACAAAAAAAAATTGGGTTAGGCTGACAATTGGGTTTGGAAAAATTGAAAAAAGAGTGGATTGTAAAATTTAAGTTATGTTGGTATTGGGTTAACTAATTAAATTGGGTAAATTTCAATAAAAAAAATTAAATTGGGTAAATAAAAATTAATTGTTAGCATATGTACAAAATATATATATAAATAATTTTTGTTTATACGGATCCCCACGGGGTTGAGGAAATTCCCTGCGAAATTTCACGGGTAAAAAATTGCCTCCATCCCCGCCCCACGGGTAAGAATATTATTGGAATCTCCATTCCCATGGCGGGGATCTCCACGGAGCTCCGTGGGTCGCGGAGAAAATTGCCATCCTTAAATTTGAGTAACATAATACGTGAATAAAGTAAAAAAAAAATAGTAGAAGTGATTGTCTCATTTTGTGCAATCAAGATAAAAAAAAAAAAAACACACAAGGTAATACTTGCTTACTAGTAACTTCAACCTTAGAGTTGGGACCCTCCTTATGAGTGCTACATGTGGCAATTTTTTTTATTGGTTGGGATATAGATTATTTAAGTTTTAAAAAGAATTTTTTAATTATGTCTAATATGCTTTTTAGTTATTAAATCATATGAAAATAAAAAAAATTAATATTAATTTTAATATCAATATTACATATATTAACTTAATTAGTTAATTGTTAAAATTAAAATTAAACTTTATTTCTTTATGTAACTTAATATGACAAAAGTGCATTCAATACAATTTTAACCTGCGTCCAATGGCAGAAATTAAAAAGACCCAATTTAAAATCATTTGTCACATGAATCAACAATAGAGAAACATTTATGATAGGAACTAATTATTAAGATATAAATACTTTAAATGAATCTACATATGAGAAATATTTATTAAAAGCATCTAAATATATATAGTTTCATTGACAATTTAACATTTAAAATATCAAAATATATTAACAATTTAACATTTTAAATATAAAAATATCTTAATTTTCACTTTTTCTCTTTATTGAACTAGTCATAAAATTAATGCCATCCCCACCTATAACTCTAACATGTCATTCAAGCCAAAAACATCTTGATTACAAATTGAAATTGGCATTGACAGTATCAGATTTAAAATTCTTATCATCTATCACAAGAAAAATTGCAAATAGCAATGGGGTTATTCTTCCTTTGATAGCAGAAATTGGGAAATTTGATAATTTGAGTAGCCCATTTTGTAGGCCAATGTAGGGAACTAGTGAGGTTTCTTATTTGTTCGTTCAATTCGTTTGTTTGTTTGTTTGTTTTTTTTTCCTAACTTAGGCTCTTAATTTAGTTCAATTCAAGACAAATTTTTAACTTATGACTTTTAACTTACAACTAAAGTTATAATACATCTTGTAAAGGTTTTTTTAACCTCACTTCTAGAAAATTTTCAATTAGGCAGAACTGAGTGCAAATTCTTAGAACCTTACTTTTTTCACCCAATTTGATTTGACATAACTTTCAAAATTCACTCAACTAAACTAATTTGTTGACTAGGTGGTATCTAAAAGTAGAGTTCTTGATCATGGAATGAACTAAAAAAGAGTTTGTTTTCTCCCTTTGCAAGACCATCAACAGAGCAAATAATCATCATCTATTCATAGAGTTGACTTGGTTATATATATAGGTAGGGTGAATCATGGATTACCTTGCTTGCCTAATTAATTAGTGCTGGACTGCTGGGTGAGAGGGAAATAAGGCTATCTAAATCATAGCCAAAAAGAGGCATAATGATAGACTAGAGGTCTATGATGTTTTAGTGAATTCACCAATTCTAATTAAGCCTTTTGTTCTTTTGGAAGGAAACTGACTACCACTCTATTTTTACTGGAGATGATAACTGCATTCTAACTGCAAAGTTTGATTGGGTTTGGGGTACATGCTTTTTTTTTTGGGGTGAAAGTCTGTCTAAACATTTTTCCACATTTTGTCAAAGGCATGAAACACATCTATTTTACCTACTAAATTCAACCTCATTTGGAATTAAAATCATGTGTTCAATTGCTCAAGGGATTTCTGATTAGTTAGTAACTTGACCTTTTAGAAGTTCATGTTCGAACCTTTGGAAAGGTGAGGTTTGGAAATGAGAGGATTATATATATATATATATATATATATATATTTTAGGGTTCCGAAAAAAAAAATTTTCTTTAATTATTGATTTCGAAACTTAAATCTTAAATTTAACGCACAAAACAACACTTATTAGTAAATTTAACCCATATAATTAGGATTATCATTTATTGTTTTAATATATTAGAGAATTAATTATTGCAAAACTTTGAATTTCTAACTTTGACCATAAATTAAAGATTTTAAAATAGTAAATTTTAATTGAACTAAATTTTTAATTTTTAGTAAGATTATCATTTATTGTATAACTTATTGTTGAATGAAACAAAATAATCTTGAATTCAAAAAGGAAGCTATAAAGTAATAATTCATTTTTAGTGTTAGGATACGCAATAAAAGAAAACTCTGCCACACACTAGCCCCTCCATTAACTTATTGGATTCATAGGAGCTGATATACTAGAGTGGAAAAGATGAAAATGTAGAAGTCACAAATCGCAATCCAACTTTATAAATTACGCACTTTATATAATAAGTTAAATTATATATATATATATATGTACAATAAGGGTGAAATGATATCACCCGTACAAGGTTAATGAAAACCCTTTTCAAACCAAAACTAATATGACTCTTCACCATCACCGCCACTACCATATCTGCTCATGGCTGCCACCGCCGTCGCCACCACCGTTACTAGTAGTATCTCTACGAGGTGGATGTATGGTAAGAACTGAGAAAATATCATAGGAAATTATATATATGATAACAAAAATTTAATCTAGTACGACCACATTGACTCGACCATATCCATGTCGAAAATGGGCTTGGCTTGTGAACCCAAGAGCTTAGAAGAGGGTGACCCACTACTGTTTGGACTTCCCGGGCCGAAACCATGGTACCATGGTGAGGCTGACTGGCTGACCCTTAGGTGCACCACTTCAGCTTGGGCCAGAGCCAACTGAGTCTGAAGTGTGTCTATCTGCTGTTGCAGCGACGATATGGCTCCGACGCAGCCGTAGACAGGGTCACGCACCCTGGCGTTTGCCTCGTACACCATGCTGCTCACGGCGTCGCCGCGCTGGTGCTCTGGTAACTCCTGCAAGCTTCCACGGTTAAGCACCGCCCATAAAGAAGAAAAATGAAAGCCTATAAGGCCCAAGAGTCATGGGCCGGTAGCCCATGTCAACATGATCTCACATTGATGTCATTTTCAATTACCGTCCAAAACTAGTCCTTTTTTTTTTTTTTTCTACTTTAATTTTGCTTTTCTTTGTGCTTTCGGCATTTTTGGGGGGCAATAGATTTTGGTGCCCTAATTCTTTTAATTAGATTAATGTGAATGGATTTTCTTCGTTGAAAAGACAGTAGTGCCCTTTAAACCAAACAGTAAAAGACATTAGTAGCCTGGCCCACTTTGCAGGCCAAAGTAAAAAAAAGCCTGGCCCCACCTTAGCTAGAGTTTATACCCTTGGGCAATTTTTGGGAAAAGGAGGTGGGAGCAGCATTGGATATTTTGGGATTTTCAATTTCAGAGATTTTAGTAGAAAAAATGAAACCACTTCACGTGATCCCCAAACAGCCCTTTAGAAAAATAATATTTTATCAAGGAAAATAAAAAAAAAAGAAAAAGAACTGCATTAAACAATAGGGCTGCAGATTTTTTAGGTCCATCTAGCTATAAAAAAAAAAGAGTACAGAAATGTTTATGAAATTAATTAAAAATATTTAAATAATTTTCTAAGTATTTTTATATTTTTTTAATGTCAATTTCAAAAGCACTTTTTATTAACCAATTAATATAAGAAACGCGGTTTGTATTTCAGAAACTAGCATAGTCAGTTAATGCATGGATTTTTTTTGTGTTTCAAAAGTAAATTAATGATATAACTAGAGGCAATTGAATTAAGAAAGAGAGGGGTAAAGAAGTAGAAGAAGAATAGATACCTGGAGCATCTTGTTGACATTGCTAGCACCGAACACCTTATGCACGTTAGCAAACTTCTGGGGTTCATCTGCAGGAAAATAAGGAGCAAAAACACAGTCTTGAGCACACCTTCTCCTCAAAAGTTTGCATGCTGCACATGGAGATGGTGCTCCTTGCTTCCTCCCACTCTCCTTCATGATGGCTATATGTGTCAAGGCCTAGGTACTAATAAAGGGAATTTAGACCCCTCGCTCTTATTTTGTAGGGTATTAGTTTATTCCTCGGAAGGAAGCACACAAAGCCTAGTTATTAAGGGTATATATATAATGGATCAGCAGAAGAAATTAAGTGAAGAAGAAGAAGAAGAAAAGATGAAAGAATGAAAGTGAAAAGAAGAGAGGCAGAGGGGGCCTAAAGAGGAGAAGTGGTGGTGATTAAATAAGCAAGGATGGTACAACTGAGGTGGTCCCTTTACCAAAGAAGCCCTTGGATTTTTCGTAGACAAAGGACGTCTCCCATGATATTGACACCTTAATTTACCATTTGGCGCCAATTCTTAATTAATTAGACCATTTCCCCCATTTTAATTATTTTAATTTACTTTTTATTAATATTATTAAAAATAGACATTGGATTGGGACAATGAAATTGTAAAGAAGGATTTTGTTGGGATTTTCACATAGAAAGTAAAGGTTTTGATTTGGTGGGTGCTATTAGCTGTAAATGATATAAAAATTGATGTTTGTATTAAAAAAATTAATTTTCATAGAGAAAGTAAATGTTTTGATTTGATGGGTGTTATTACCTGTAAATGATATAAAAATTGATGTTTATATTAAAAAATTATTTTTTTGAATGCATCGTACAGACGTGAAGATGTGTTTTTAAAATCATTTAAGAAAAGTTTCATCTCCAAGTGCACCAAAATTGGTTGAAAAACACCCTGTCAATTTAAAAAAAAAAAAAAAAAAAAAAAAAAAAGGGAAGAAAAATGATGCTTGTACATGTGCAGGTCTATGGAAAAATAAATTAATTTATTGTGGATCCAAAGTGGCATGTGAAGAAAATTCTTTTCATATGTTGTAGTGTGAATCGAACTTATAAGATTGATTGATTATTAGTCATTGGAATATACCAATGATACTTCATAACTGTTTCACTGTTTGGTCCGTTTGCCTTTAACTGTAAATTTTATAAAAGCTACTTAATTAATCATAAAATAATTGTAAATCAATTTCCAAAAAAAAGGAAAGTTAGGTATAAAACCACTCAACTGAAGTTCACAAATTTGTAGTTTTAGTTTCTAATTGATCTTTTTATTATTATTATTATTTTTTTGAATAAGGGGGAAATTGGGAGGAAAGGAGAATAGGGGACTACTATTACAGTTTGAAACATTAGTAGAAGTCAAGAGTTAGGTGCATTTGAACCAACGCAGTCAAAGCTGTGGGTGTAATTGATCTTTGTAATTTAAATTTGAAATTAATTTTTAAAAATATAAATATTTTTATAAAAATTACATTTAGCTTGATTTCAGCTTTTATAGTAGTAAAGACCCTTACGGCTTTAATAAGCGCTATCAAGCGCTTAATGGTAGTCCATACTCATACATAAAAAGGCAAAAAAACAAAAAGGAAAAAAAGAATTTAGTTGGGATGGCTAATTGGTTGAGATGAAGGTGGTGGACTTTTCAAAGTGGAAAGAGATTTGCAAGCATAAGCAGATAATCCATCGTCACTCTTTAAGAAATATAAGAAATAAAAAGAAGAAAAAGAAGAAAAAGGAGAAAGTAAAATGCCAAGCACGTCTATGTTTTATTTTTGATAGAAAAGATGGGATTTGGAAGACTGGCTTTTTGAAATATAATAGTGTGTAATTTTTCCAAGACTTTGGGTTTTATTGTAATTTTAATGATTATCCATTCTATGTCAATCTTCTAATTAATTCTTAAATTGGTTAATTTTTAACCAATTAACTTGAGACCGTTTTTCTTTTCTTATCCCAAAAGCTAGAGCCAGCCATGTATTATTTGTAGATGATAG